AGAAGACATGTGTAGGGGGCAGAAGACATGCTTGTTGTCCTGAGCAGCCACCGGGCCTGGGCCAAGTCTGATGCCTGTGACTAGACCCCAATTGATCCTTTAAACACTTGGTGATAGCACCTGGGCAGCAGAGTTATTTCTTGGGTCTGTTGAGAGAAGCTGAAACCCAGTTCTCTTCAATCTCCTGAACTGTTACGAAGTTTGCTCTCCCAGGCAGAGGAGCCCTCTTGCTCCTCATTCAGGCTCAAGGCCAGCAAAATCCTACCTGTTCCTGGTCCCGATCCCCTTGCAATGCTCTCCCTGCCCTCTGTGTTGCTCCATATTGTTAGGACACATTTCTTTGTGTGGCCCCTGTCTCTCGAATTAGATCCTAAACTCCTTGAGAGCAGGCCTTCTTCTCCCCACCAGCCCCACCCAGGCCCCACTCAGGCCTTACTGAATAATAAGGACTCACCTAACACCAGTGAAATGAATAAAATGAAACCCACTAAGTAAATAAATAACAACTTTGAGATATGCTAATTCTCTTTCTTGATATGTTTATGAACCAACAGTTTACAGTTTAGATAACAGATTCTCTGTTTAAAGCTGGGTAAGTGGGTAACACTCTGAGACAGATTCCGAATTAAAGACCACAGAGTCCTAAGTAGGACCTACCACCTTCTCTACTCTGGTACCTGTTAGAACTGAGAATGTTGTTTATGGGTCACTGGAGGATTTTTTTCTCAACTCCTGACTTAGAATGACTACTAGGTCATCAAGAGCATCCAGCTCACCTTTCAGCTTTCCTGATGCCTTCAGAGACTCAGTTTCTATACTTAGTGGAAAGAGGTGGCCTTCTGAAGAAACCATGGAGGAGGGGAGAAAAACAGAGTAAAACCTGAGTTACAAACTGCCTGAATGCAAAAGGCCTTTGTCATAAACAAGGGGTGTTTCAGCAGCACTGAGACCAGAGATGAGATACCAGTAGGAATATCTTCCCAGCATGTGCAGACATGTACTGGAATGACAAGACAGAGTGCAGTGTCAACAACTGACTTGTGAAAAGTCAAAACATGCTACTTGTTCCCAAGGTCTCCTGCTGAACCCAAACTAATCCAGACCCTACAGAAGGCACTCTTTGTGATTCTAAAATATTTCCTTTACACGATTTCTCACTAAGTATTCTTTCTAATCTTATTTTAAAGCTCAATTGCTAATATTTTTAAATTAGTGGAAGCACTGATCATGGAGAAACCAATGGATGGGGCAATGGGTGGTGGGGAGATGGTGACCCCAATGGTGGCAGGGTGGGGAGGACCAGGAGTCTGGAAAACATAGACCAGAGTGCGTTCTACTGTGCCAGGCTAGGGACATTAGGTTAAAAAAACCAAACACACCTGGAAGTAGAATTAGAAATCAATGGCCATACCATACAACCCTAAATTCCTCCCTGCCGCACTTTTTATGTGATCACCATCATCTCCCCTCCCACCCAAGATCATAAGAGGTGTGAACATTCTGGGAGGAAACGTAGAGGCTTTGGCTTAAGAAGCCATTGCCCAAGGAAACCACACCCCTAAACACACACATGAGTTTTGTCTTAGTTTCCAAATCCCCATACCCAGCCATCTACAAACCTCTAGAATGGGGCACTAGGTACAGGAAATGTTTTAAGCTAATTGTTCAGCTAGTTGGGACCTTGACCTAGTGTTTGGCCAAAGTTTAATAGCTGAGGAAATATTCAAGTTTGATCTTACTTTGAGTGCTCTAACTCTTCAAAATCACAACAACAAGATAAAATAATGAATGTCAGAGAAAAGGAGAAATAGACTCAGTATCTTCCATAGCAGAAGGCAGGTGCGTGTATGCTACTGGTGACCTTCTAACTCCCTTCTATCCAAGGTGGTATCTAGTGATTGAATCATTGACTTCTTTAGTGCTGCAATGATCTAGTCTCTCCCTGCTGTATGGTGGTTCAGAAGGAACCCAGCCCTGGGGTCTCCATTCACTGCCATACTTGAAAATCTGGGTTGCTCCCTCCCATGTCCTCTAGACTTGTCCCTTGGATTTTAAGAGAAATGCATTCTTCTGAGTAGAAGACCCTACTTCCCCAATTACTATGGAAACTATCTACCTACACTGGTTCAAATTCGGGGCACCAAAACAGCACCATTCAAATTCAATAGTTTAGACTTCTAGGGGTTTTCAAACTCCAGCTTGAGTATCAGAATCACAAGGGGAGCTTTCAAAATGCATATACTTGGGTCTAACTTGGAGCTTCTAATCCAATGGCTTGAGGGAAGTCTTGGCATCTTCATTTTAGAAAGCTCCATGTTATACTAAAGCACATTGAGATTTGAGAGTCTGTGGGTTTAGAGATACAGCCTAGAGGCAAGGAGGAGGAATGCTCAAGGGGAAGGAAGAAAGAGGGAAAAATAGGAAGAAGGAAGGAAGAAAGAAATGGCCATAGGAAGGTCAAAGCAATCAGAGAAATTATCTGAAAGCCAGGAGCTTTGGGCTGGGAGGTGCCTCCATCATGAATACCCAAGTACGAGGCTCTGTTTCAGCTTTAGGTGTGTGTGTGTGTGTGTGTGTGTGTGACTGTGTGTGTGACCCCCCCCCCACACACACACAGTCACACACACACACACAAACACACATAACATGGCAATTTCAAAAAGGTGCTGGGAAAATCAGAGAGGCATGTCCCATGAGCCTGGGATTGTTTCTTCACCTCTGACACTTTTTCCATTTCCAGCCTGAGCTCTATCACACACACCCCAGGGGAGAAAGCACAACACACACCCCAGGGGAGAAAGCACAACACAGCTGCTGAAAATTGGTAGTTGCATTTGTGTGCTTGTTCTCATTCCCTACTCCGTTGTCATCATGATAGTATTTCTTTGGGTCACATCTGGCTGGTGGGGTATCAATGAGTTGTTGTTGGGGAGAGGGGGGATGTAATGAAGGAAGATCACAAAAATACATCAGGGCCATTAGCAAAGTAAATTATACCTATTCCCCTCAACCCCACACTCACCCACCACTACCCTGCCCTCAAGTTGCTGCCATTAAAGGTGTTTCCATAGCAACTTAAGGCATGGATTTGAAGCTCCACCTGGTGAGGCTCCAAGGCACCGTTCCATACACCGTTCCAAACTGCCCATCTGAAAAAGGATGCTTCTGTCCTTAGGACCACTTGGGAATTTGATCAACTTTGCTAAGTGAAATAAATTTGTCTAAGCATAATAAGTTCAATCCCTCTCTTTGTACAAATCATTTAAAATCAGTTTTTATTCAGTATGGGTCTTAGAAAATATTTTCAAAGTTTCATTTTAGTTTGAGGAAGGGTTGATTTGGCCTTCATCTTCTTTTGAAAGTATGACAACACAGCAACTTTCCCAGCAGGGGTTCTGGTTGTGTAGCCATCATTCAGTTGAAATTTAGTGTTTCCCTAGACTGAGCTTTTCAGTCTGAACTGGATGTTTTTCAGTCTGAATTCTCAGTCTGTAGGGGCACTCCTGGCATGCAAGGTATGCTCAGGAAATGTTTGCTAGGTACAAGGTGCTCAGGCAAGTTTCAAGTAGTCATTTGCAGAGAGGTGCAATTTCATAGCAACATTGGGTTTCAGCATGTCCACTACAACATAAAAACTGGGAAATGGGGTTTTTAATCAATAGAACATGATGCTTATAAAAAATTTAGAGGATACAATCCCTATATCACATCTCCATGTTGCTACAAACTTTTCTGATTCAGAAAGAAGTTAGCACCCCTCATGGCATTGGTGCCTGCCTGTCTGGCAGCTCTGCTTGATGGGGAGGCATCACCCCTCTTCCATGCTTTAGCGTGCAGACACTGTTCCTTAAGCATGCTCTCACATGGTTTTCAGGATGGCCAAAAACATGACTGTTTGCAAAATGCTAGGTGAGATGGTATTTTCAAGAATGGAACAAGCATTTTCACTCAAATGTTGGAGAACAACACTGGATTCTGGTGAATCATTTCCTGCTAAAATAGGAGATACTATAAAGAATTATGTTTCCTGGATTTTTATAAATAATGGATTTAACTCTGCCAAATGGAGACCGCTCAAACATGATGTGTGTGTTTGCCTGTGGGATAGGCTGCACCAAAATCCCTTCAGTGGCTCAAAGGTGGCAAAGTACTGTTGGCTGATGGACATGAAAAGGGGCAAAAGATTTTTAAAGATTTGCTGTCAAATGGCTGACACTTAAGAACTATAGTTTCTAAATATGCATCATGTAAGCACCAGCATGTTTTGTTAACACTAAGAAAGCCAGCAATGTATTTGTCTGGACTATTCTCATAAGATAGGTAAGATTACTCTGAGAAATAAGAATATAATAGCATGGTCTAACGCTACACCATTCAATAAAAATGGCTTCTGCCTGACCGGTGTGGCTCAGTGAGTGAGCGTTGACCAAATCGCGGTTTGATTCCTGGTTAGGGCACATGGAAGGGTTGTGGGCTCGATCCCCAGTGTAGGGTGTGCAGGAGGCCACCAATCAATGATTCTCTCTCATCACTGATGTTTCCATTTCTATCCCTTCCTCTCTGAAATCAATAAAAATATATATTTTTAAAAATGGCTTCTTTTTAGAAGACCAGGCCTAATGTTTCTCTTTAATTATAAATGATCTGTCTAAAAATTATAAATGATGTATCTTTTGGGGACAGAGGCAAGACAATAGTAAGAAGAGAAAAACCCAATAGTGGGAGAGGAGTGAATGGGATCCTGTGTTGTGCCTGCCATGTTTCTTACTAGAAAAGCATAGCACACACTGAAAGGTGGCATTTCTCTGAGGCTGGTGGCAAAGAGAGACTCACAGGGAGTGTGAGTGTTTGCTTTGTCTCTCAGGAAAGGCCTGAAAGAAATCAAAGACATTCATCAGCCTCTCCATCAAAGTCATGGGAGGTAAACAAGGGAGATGTCGAGGGAAGGAAGCCTTAAAACTTTCCGGACTCCCTGCCGCTGCCCATCGCAAGCTACGTACCCAGTATAGCACGTCTGTCCAGCCTTCCATGGTGATGCACTGGAACACCGTGAGCATGGCGAAGGCGAAGTTGTCGAAGTTGGTGATGCCGTGCCTGGGCCCATCCCACCCAGGCTTGCACACAGTGCCATTCTGACACTGCCGTCCATGGCCTGTCTCCAGAGCACAAGGGGAGGGATCATCTTCTGCTGGAACATCTCAAATGGCCAGGGGGGGAATACATAAAGGGCAGAGATGCACAGAGGGGAGGAGGATACACAATGGGGGGAGATGCACAGAGGGGGAGATGCACAGAGGGGGGATGCACAGAGCGGGGATGCACAGAGGGGGGATGCATAGAGGGGGGGGATGCATAGAGTGGAGGGAGATTCACAGAGCAGGGGATGCATAGAGTGGAGGGAGATTCACAGAGCGGGGGATGTACAGAGGAGAGAGGGATGGATGGAGAGGGGGGAGATGCACAGAGGGGGGAGTAGCACAGATGTGGGAGATGCACAGAGGGGGGAGTAGCACAGAGGGGGTGATGTACAGAGGAGAGAGGGATGGACAGAGAGGGGGGAGATGCACAGAGGGAGGGGATGCACAGAGGGGGGAGATGCACAGAGTGGAGGGGGATGCACGGGGGGGACACACAGAGGAGAAAGGGATGGACAGAGAGGGGGGAGGTACACAGAGGGGAGGGGATGCACAGAGGGGGGAGATGCACAGAGTGGAGGGGGATGCACGGGGGGGACACACAGAGGAGAAAGGGATGGACAGAGAGGGGGGAGGTACACAGAGGGGAGGGGATGCACAGAGGAGGCACACAGAGGGGAGAGGGATGCACAAGGTGGGGACACATAGAGGGAGGGGAGATGGGCAGAAGGGAGGGAGAGATGGGCAGAGAAAAAAAAATCGGCAAGTCAGAGAGGAAAGTTACAAGATAAGATTGATGGGATAGGCAAAACCACCACACAATGGTAATGGAAAAAAAAGTTTTCATTCATCCCCTGTATATGAATTAAAACAACATAAGGAACTAGGTATTCATTTAGGCTGTTGGTTTAGAACAGTGATGGCGAACCTTTTGAGCTCGGCGCGTCAGCATTTTGAAAAACCCTAACTTAACTCTGGTGCCGTGTCACATATAGAAATTTTTTGATATTTGCAACCATAGTAAAACAAAGACTTTTATTTTTGATATTTATTTTATATATTTAAATGCCATTTAACAAAGAAAAATCAACCAAAAAAATGAGTGCATGTCACCTCTGACACGCGTGTCATAGGTTCGCCATCACTGGTTTAGAACGTTAGTACTTTCAACCAATTGTTTTAAAATGTCATTTTAGTCCAGTAATCGATTTCAAAGACAGTAGGGACATGGCACATTCTGTTGTAGCACATCAGCATCATAGTCAAATAGTCAATCAAAAAATAATGATGATGGAACCACTCTGAGTGGAAGGTTTCCTGGAAAATGAAGGAAGTCCATGTATTCTTATTTTGGGGGTATTTCCATCGAAATAGCAGAGTTTCAAGTGAGAGCATGTTGACTGGAAGACTATTCCACATAATTGGCCAACAGATCCCATCCCATCGCACTTTGAGACTATAGGAGAGTCCATAAGGTGTTACATGAAGCATCAGCAGGGATGCAAGCCACTCTGTGGTGCAAGCCTAATCTAGGTGAAGGATAAAGTAAACCCTGACTGCAGGGAGAGGACCGCCTGCAGCCGTCTTTATTATAACCTGAGAGCACCACTGTGGCCTGTGTTTTACGCAGGTCAAGTAGAACCTTGCACCACTGCCCTTGCTTACCAGCATTCCTACCTTTCAGAAGAAAAGAATCATTTTCTGACCTCTACTCAAGATAGAGGGGCAGTGGGTGACAGGGAGAATACTCAGTAGGTGTGGACAGGGCTTTTTCAGAAAACAGTTTAACATCTGTGGCTACAGACAATGCTCGGGCTAATTCCACATGCTGGGAACAGCTGCTAAAAACCAATAAATTAAGACGAGGTTTATATTTTTGGTGCAGAGATCATTAGTAGTTTGAAATAAGACTTGATTTATTTAAGAATTTCTATTGTAGTAAAAGAATAGAAAAATGCTGAGAAAGGCTTGGCCCCAGCTGAGGAAGGTAATTGTGTGAACTTTAGGACATTGTCTCATGCTTGAAGAAAGTAACAGCAATAAGCAGGGTAGACTTAACAACCAAATGATTGCTTCTGACAAAAGGAAAGATATGGTCCCAGAGAGTGAATTTACTTGCAGTTTTTCATTTAGAGATTTCCATATGTATCAAAACAATCACAGTGTCTAGTACTTCAGTACTGAAGATGGCTGGTTGGTTGTTTCTTGGTTTGTGGCTTCAAATTAGAAATTTCACTCCCAAAAGGAAGACAGGAAGAGAATAGTAATCCATAACTAAGACAATTCTTAAAAGAATGGAGTTGAGCAGCATGGCTGGAAATATATGCTGGATTGTGTCTTCTTGGCTTTTTTTTTCTTTTCTCCCTCTCGTTTTAGTTACTTTATTGAAATATAATTTACATTTCTTCCAATCCATGAATGCAAATGCACAGCTCAATTATTTTTAGTAAATTTACATAGTTGTGCACCCATCACCACAATTCATTTTAAAACACTTCCATCCTTCTCCAAAATTCCTGTGTGCCTGTTTGCAGTCAGTCCCTGCTCCTGCCCTACCAACCTGGTCTGCACTCCATGTCTATAGCTTGCCTCTCTAGAAATTGCATATACATGTTCATTTCACTGTCTGTTTATCCACTAGCTCCGTGGTCAGCAAACTGCGGCTCGAGAGCCACATGCGGCTCTTTGGCCCCTTGAGTGTGGCTCTTCCTAAGCCTTAGGAGTACCCTAATTAAGTTAATAACGATGTACCTACCTATATAGTTTAAGTTTAAAAAATTTGGTTCTCAAAAGAAATTTCAATCATTGTACTATTAATATTTGGCTCTGTTGACTAATGAGTTTGCCGACCACTGCTAGCTGATGGGCATTTGGATTGTTTCCAGGTTTGGGCTATTGTGAATAGTGCTACTTCTGGCTTATTCTTGGCCTGGTGCTTTAGGCTGTACATGGGTGTCTGTGATATGACCCAGGTAAGAGGTCTGCATCACTGGTCCCTGAGCTGTCTCAGAAAATCATTTCCCACTCCTGACGCTGGCTCCCAAGGCGCTCTGTTCATACAGCTGAAATCCAGTCAATTTTTTGTGACTTCAAATTTCAAAATCTTTGGAGATTTGAATGTGAGCTTAAACAAAGGGAGGCTATGAAAGGAGGGGAACTGAAAAGTGAATACCAAACCTGGAAAGTTAAAGAAAAAGTGGATAATAAGTATGTAAAAAAATGAGAGTTGAGAGACTGAATAGATCATAAACTCAGCTGTGTCCTTGCCCATGCTAGTGATGGCTCCCTAGAACATGTTCAGTCTCTGTTATGAAAGGGCTGGAATAATATGAGAGATGGGATGGAAAGAGAAGGGAAAATAGAGGGAAATTTTGCATCTCCTTTTCCCGTTTTGCTTTTTAGTGCAATTAAGATAGTATTAATCTTTGCACTGTGGTTGCCAATCTGACAGCTTTTCCTGTATTCTCAACCCCTGAAATAAGCAGAAATAAGGAAAGTGAGTTCTGAGTGTCCTCAAGAAAGAAAAACACAGTTTGGGCTTTTACAAATGTATGTTGAAAAGAAATAGCATGAAGGGGAAATGATCTCATTACTAAAAGAGAAAGGGTTGAGATTCAGAAAGATCATCTAAAAGCTCAAGGGCCACTCTGCTATTTTGATTTAAGTCTGTCTTGAACAACAGAAAAAAAAGAAAGATATGAGAACAATTAAGAAGCAGTGATGATCTGGTAAAAATAGATATCTATAAAAAGCAGTAAAGGGAGCACTTGAAAAATGTGAACACACAAATCAGCAGGTCCTGTGACATGCTCTGGAGGGTGAGGGGAAATGAGATCTAATGGGAAAATGTGTTGGTTTTCCTGGGGCGGGGGGGGGGGGGGGGGAGGTCATGAAGTCCCGGTGAGGTGGGGTGGGTATGAGGGAGGAGGAAAAAACAAAGCAATGTGGGTGAAGCGTGGTAAAGTCATTCTGGAAAGTCCAAATTAAGTTTGAAGTAAACTAATGGAGGCCAGATTATGAGAGATTTAAAAAATGCGGTCAATACCAACAGGAGCATGAGACCCTGGGACAGTGCCAGTTAGGGGTTCCAAGGAGAAATACCAGAGACAAAACCAATTATTTTTTTAGGCCCCAATTTTAAGGAGTGAATAGAATGAAAATGATTTCATTTCTAGGTTTTAGTCAACCCATTCTTTGCCAGTCTCTGGGGTAATTATTGTGTTTGGGAGAGCCATTCAGAGTGACCTGGCTCAGAGCACCATCAAACAGATGGGATGCCAGAAACAAAAGGAGCCAGCATATGCTGGTGCACCTGCTGAGGGGCCTGGGGGGCGCCTGCCAGGTGCCTTAGGGACTGGAGGAACACTGTCTCTCTTGAGGCCACCTCTCCTGGGAACTGGCGGGGGCATCCTAGAGGCAGAATAATGGTTCGCCTAGCGGGCTCCAGAGCTTCTTTATATATTTTCTAGGAAACATGGCTCCAAATCCAATGTATTCTAAAATTTACAAGCACATAAAATTCAGTCTGAAAAAGAAACTCAAAATGTAAAAAGAAGAATTGGATGTAAATCCCATTAACAATTCTTTTTTCTTTTTTAAAGATATGTTTTTATTGATTTCAGAGAAAGGAAGGTAGAGGGAGAGAGATAGAAACATCAATGATGAGAGAGAATCATTGATTGGCTGCCTCCCGCAACCCCACCCCTCCACCTGGGATTGAGCCCAATCCAGGCATATGCCTTGACTGGGAATGGAACTGTGACCCCCTGGTTCATGGGTCGATGCTAAACCACTGAGCCACACTGACCGGACCCATTAAATATTTTAACAAGGGCTCACAAACACTTCTGTATAATCTAAGTTTGCAGAAAACATGGTAATTCAATCCAAAGACTGGACTTTAAAAAACACCCATTCCAAAGGTGGTATGAAACTCTCCAAAACACATGAGACTGGTTTCAAAGACTGCAGGGTTGGTTTTCTACTCTGGCTGCATCAAGTATGTCCAGATTCCTGTACATGTTCCCTCCTCATCAGGGTTCGTCACTATGGGTGAGAGAGGCCCTTAGGACAGCTGTGTCATGTTCTGTTGGGAGAGATGGATGAGTGGGTCCCAGGGTATCATCAGACAGCAGGATCAGGAAGAGGAGGTGTGTGAGCTCCGACTGCAGTATTGGGAGGAAAGGCTCCTGCAGCCACATGTCCCCTGTCCTCTCCCCAGCAGGAAGTCTGGCTCCACATGGAGAGCAAGGTCACCTTCTGGTGGAGCTCGCATGGCTCCCCTCTCAGAAGCGCTTCTTTGGTGTCTGTCCTCTGACAAACTGGCTCCCAGGGCTGATGGTCATTTCCGTGATGGGAGCTACCTTCCCTTGTGAACTTGGGGGTGAAGGTAAAACCCACCACATAAATAATCTGATGCATCCCTGGTAGGAAGTAGGCTATGTCTTGGGTACTTTTCCTGGTCCTGATTACTATTGAGGATGGACAATAATATGGCCCTAAATTGGCCACTGCAATTGGTGAGGACAGTTCAGGTCTTTATCCTAAAAGCAAGGAGGCCGCTAAAACTTTGAGCAGGCCTGAGGGCCTATTTCACCAGACTGTCCAGCTGCATGGGGCAGACTATCCCATCCTGTCTCTCCCTGGTCTATCACGCCCACCATTTCCTGCCATTTGGGGCTACTGCAGGCCTCAACAAAGCCCAGTGACTTCCAACCAATATTCAGGGTTGCTTATTAGCACAGGCCCTTCCAGGACCCTGCCACCAGTAGAAAACACACTTTCCCAGCAGGATGATAGGAGCCATGTGCAGTGTTGGGAACAGTGCCCTGTAGCTCAGCGGTGCACAGGGCAGGACTGCCATCTTTGGCTTTTTGGCAGGATTTCACCATTTCACTCTTTCCCATTTGATATGTGGTTAGTGAGAGGCACACCAGCATCCACTGCTGAATTGATGGGGATCTTTGAGACTCAACATCCCAGTGACTGCCTGAGAAGTTTGGGCCAAACAGGTCATTGATCACTTCAATACTAGTACAAGTGCATAAACTTCAGACATACTACAGTAGCTCTTAAGTAAGACTCACAATGAGCTCTAACAAAGCCACAGAATTAATATAAATTTACTGGCCTGGGGCTAGCTACAGATTAAACTGAACATAAGGAAGGATTTGAATTCAAGGGGAAAATATTATTCATTTCATTATTTGGTATTTCTTTAGGCAAGGCTGAAACCTCAGAATTTTAGCTAAAGGCAAGCCTGTTTGTTCCAATACTAAAGGGCTTCTGTGTTATTTAACATGACAGTTTATTTTATACAATTATGGTCCCAGTAATTTGGAAATTCTCTCTAGAGTGAAAAAATGGTCTCCTATTAAACACTCTCCATCAAAAAAGTAAAAACCATTGTGTGAGACTGTGCTTATGGGTTTATAGCTCTTTGTTTGTTTAGGGACTGTGGTCATATGGCAGCGACCTTGCAAATACCCAATATAGCCAATCAAATCAGATCATCCAGAATCTGCAACCCATTTCGGTTTCTGAATATGAATAATCCATTTTACTCCCTGTTGTAGGTCAACCCCCAAAGCAAGAGGGGTCACACGGGATTAATTCTGGGCTGATAGAAATGAGGGGCAGTAGATTGAGAGACGTACACAATCCTTTAATGCTTCAGACATGTTCCCCTTTCCTTATCAAGATGCCAAAAACTAAGATGAATGATGTTGTTATGAAAAAATAACAAATCATGAAAGTTTAACACTACTAACCCCTTGGGGGTATTTTTCAACAAGTTCTTATGTTGAACTACTTTATATGTCTGTTAAAAAGCCTTGTCAATTTCTGTTTGAATGTTCTTTTTAATGTCAAGTTGAATTTTAGTAACTTAAGATAGTAGTTGTAGCATACTCCTCAGGCTGAAACTCTAGATCTACTCAAGGAAGTGCTTAATGAGCCAGCATTGCTTGTTAAATAGATTGATTTATGGAAGGAACACAAAAGCGAAGTTCTCAAAAAGGTAAGGACTACGAAGTCATGAGTTAGAGTGAAACCTTCTGGAGGAAAAGAGGTTTCACCACTGGCCAACCTCCTCCCAGCGTGAGACAGGGCCGGGGTTCTGCCTAAGAATGGAGAAGCAGAGGGGCCAGGATCAGCCTGAACACTCAACCTGCTGGTGACAGGCAACGCCACCTTCCTGAAAGGATTTGTGGCTAGCAACACTGAAGAACCGACAGAGCATAGATCTACATCCTTAGGTTAATTCTGATTCTTAAATTAAAATATTCAAGGTTGGCTAAGAGATGTTTCTCAAATCGCACAGCTCATTTAAACAGTGTTGAGTAGTGCTGCACAAAGCTTGCATTTAGCTATCTGTAACCAAGATCTATTTTAGTAAAAACAAAAATTATCAAGAGAAAAAGACAACCAATCTCTGCCTCTCCCTTAACCATGGTTTGGAAATGAGCCCTGGAATGGAGGCCTTCCCGGGCACTGTTGGTCAGGTGGAGGCCGTGTCCCTGGCTGAATGAAAAGTAGTGACAACACAGTAAAGCTTCTTGACAGCTGGCCAGTCAGCATCTTCCCTTACCTGCTATGCCCTCTTGGTTGTAGCAGGTCTTATGCATTTTCCCCATGAAGAGTTCCAGGCCAATGATAGCATAGATAATGATGACAAACAGCACTAGCAGGGCGATGTGCAGCAGGGGAACCATGGCCTTGATGATGGAATTCAGAACCACCTGGAGACCTACAATGACAAATCATAGACAGTGACAATAGTGAGAACACCAGCTTCCATTATTGAATCATGTGCTATCTTGGATGCTATACTGACATGATCTCATGCCATCTTCTTAGCATACTCCTTGTACCTTGAGCCCCCTTTTTTAGATGAAGAAACTGAGTGACAGAGCAATGACACCCGGGCTGGCCTGACTCCAAATCTCTCTGGAGCTAAATCCAAATGAAAGGACTAGCAGGGCTATCCATCCAAGGGGAAGAACATGTTGTTTCACCCAGAACTATGCAGTTTCCTAACACCCCATCTTAGAGACAACCTACTCTCTTCTTCTCCTGTAGCAGCGACTCCCTATAGGGAGCCTCACTTTGACTAGAGGCAGCCATGCAAGGACGTGGTGATCGCTCAAGAGACTATGGCTGACCCGTATGCTCTAAAACAGATTGGCCTGGTAGTAGGGCATCAAGGGGGTGGGACTTCCTTTGCTGAAACTGATTCACACCCTGGGATAACTCTGGGCAGTGAGACCTCCGTGAGAGGGCTGAGGAAGTAACTCTAAGGGCACCTTCTCTGGATTACATGGGTGGACCTCTCTTCCTACAGATTTCTCACCAGGCCACCTTCCCTCAGGACCCAAGTCTGAAGAACATTATAGCCTTTCATTCAAAAACCCCATTGAAGGAAGTCTGTGTTTAATGGGTATTGGGTTTCACTTTGAGGAAATGAAAAAAGTTCTAGGGATGGATGATGGTGGTGGTGGCTGCACAATGTGAATGGACTTAGTGTCACTGAACTGTACACTTAAAAATGGTTAAATGGTAAATTTATATCTCTATATCTATCTATCTATCATCTATCTATCTATCTATCTATCTATCTATCTATCTATCTATCTCCACAATAAAAAAAACTAAGGTACCCAGATCCCTTCAAGGAAAAAAGAAGAGTAAATGGAAAACGATTTAGCACTTGGGTCTTGTCAGTGAACCCCAAGGGCTATAGGTTTATACTGTTGACTTATGAGGAGAAGGGCCCCCTTACTTATAAGCTCAAGCATAAATAACACACCAAGAATGCTCCTTGTTTAAAGGGGATGTGGCAAGTTTTCATTTACAAATTCCCAAGAGGTGGTCACCGGCAAGTCACCCAAGATTAGTCCTAGGAAAGCTTCTGCCTACATGAGTGCACCAAGTCTCCACATCCTAGGAGAGATGTGGGGGAAGGGCAGGCTCGCCCGCCTTACATCTAGGCCAGCTGTGCAGAAATCTTCTGTGGGCCGCCTCTCACATAGGTATGATAGGACCCCCACCTCTGAATCACACCCCAGTGTCGCTGTATGACTTCCCCACTCACCATGGACATTGGACATTGCCCCACTTTTCTAAGTATTTGGAACTTCCCTCTGTATTCACCCACCGCCCTCCTCCCTGGGTGAACAAAGCCTGGGTCTCCCACTCCCCAGACGGCAGCGGGTCACTGGCACTTTGTGATCTGGTGGATGTCTTCACAAGCCTAACTAAGGGAATTCTCCACAGCTACAGCCAAGCTGGGAGAGAAAAAATAAATAAAGGAAGAGAAAAGGTGGAATCATTTCACCTGGGAATTAATTTGCAGCCTCCCATTAGAACGAGATGTTTCAGATCCCAATGATTCCATTACTTAGCACGTTGTACACACATTAGTGATAAAGTATGCAAAGTCATGAGAAAGTTGAAAACTGAACTGCAAAGCAACTTTCAGGGATGTCTGCTGCAAGGAGGGGCCTTTGTTATCAGGCCTCCAGTGCCACAGCCTCAGATGGCAAGAAAATAGTAGGAGACACAGGATGGGAAACTCTCTTCTGTGCCACAGCCAGAGGGTCTGCTCTTAGAATAAATTCTGACATCCTTCTCGTGCCCTATAAGGCCCCAGAGGGTCAACCGGCACACCTCTCCACCCACTTCCATCCCCTGCCACTCACTCTTAGGACTCCTGGTTAGACAACTTTTCTTTTAGACTCAAATAAGCCATACTTCCTCCCACTACTGGGCGGCCACAAATGCTGCTTGTTCCCTCAGCTGGTCCGCTTTTCCAATATTTCCTCCTACTTAACCCTTTGGCTCTCAGCCCAAGCGTCTCTCTTCCCAGGGATCCTTCCCCAATCTCCCAGACCAAAGAAGTTTCCTTTCTTACATGTCCTCTTGGAAACATTTCCTTCCTTTGGAGCACTAGTCTCAGTTTGGAATCATATGCTCATTAAATAAGTTTTTAACATTTTTGTCTGTCTCTCATATCGGGTTGAGTTTTGTGAAGATGGCACTGTCCATTCTTTGACCATTTTATGGCTAAGTCTACCTTGGTGCTGAGCACACGGCAGCTCGGTAAGTGTCTACCGAAGGAGTGACACACAGTCTAAGGAAACGCTGCCACTGTCATGGAGCTCTGATGGGCTTGGCTGCAATGAGTCTGCCAGACAGGCAGGTATATGCATGGTCGGGAAGTTTCAGGTGCCACGGACCCAGGCAGAGACTACTGAGTGGGATGCAAAGAGGCCAAAAGGAAGTCACAGCAGCCCAGAATTCCTTTCAGCCACAGAAATGCCACAGAATTCCTAAGAGCCCCTGTTTGGGCTTGGTTGGTTGCCACCCTGCCCACCTGAGTATCCAGATCAGGTGACTGATACCCCTCTGGTACCTCCTTCCATCAGTGATCAAGTCCTGCCAGTTTGATTCGGAACTATTTTAGACTAAGTTATTTCTACTACATAAATAACATGTGCTATATATAGAAAAAAATGGAAAATACTTATTATAGAGGAATTGGAAAACTCAGGGAAATGAAAGGAGAAAGAAGTCACCCATATCCCACCACCCAGACATAACCACTGTTAGCCATTTGGTATAATTTTTGGACATTTTGGCCCATGACTCGTTTTCCTCCTCTCCATCCCCTTGGTGTTCATCATTCGGTTAACAATCTCCCTACCTTCAGTTTTGCCCAATCTTCATGCCACTGTTAGAATGGTCTACTGAAGCACAAATTGGAACATGTTCCTCCCCTGCTGAAGTCTTCCAATGACTCCCACCACCTACAGGTGAAATTCACCTGCCTCATGCCACAGTTTGACCACATTTGATTCTAGTTTATACAGTAATTCCAATAATATACCAAACTGTCTGAACTTCTGTGGCTTCATGCCTCCCTATCTCAGCATATGTTGTTCCCCCTGCCTAGAATGCTATTCCCTGCCTAACCAAGAGTCCCTGGAGCCTCATCTAATATTTGTATCAGTGCACAGTAGTGACTCAATGCACACGGAGTAAATCATATTTGTAAGGACAGGCTGCTTTCAGAAGACAGAAATGACAAAGGAATCTGAAACCATGACATTCAAAGGTCAGGAAAAGATAAGACTCATGGAATGGGAAAAAGCGTAAGGAGGGAGAATGATGTCAATAATTTTTACATGATATAAATTATGTTAGATGAATTCTGTATGACCATAGTGATGGAGCTAGGACCAACAAGGAAGGATTCAGAATGGATTTAGATTCAACACAAATATGTTCAAGAAACAGACCTATGTGAAGGTGGTGTGGGATGCTTTAAGAGGTAGTAGGCATCCCATCCTCAGAAGCATTCAAACCTTGACTAAATAAGCTCTTAGAGGAGATGCATTGGTAGGGATTCAGCCATTGGGTAAAGGATTTCCCTGGCACACCAAAACCCCCTATACCCTCACTAACATGTTCTGAATACTTACCATGGGCCACGTGCAGTTCTCAACACTCTACTTGAATTATTCCATTTCCTCTTGGCAACAACTCTATGAAGTAGGTACTATTATTAATCACACTCTACAGTTGAGAAAAGTGAGTCCTAGAGAGGTTCAATTGCCTGTCCATAGTTACATAGCTGGTGGCTGGTGGCATGGAGTTTAGTGCCAGGTGGCCTGGCTTCAGAGCCTATGGGCTTCACCACTGCTAAATGCCTCCTCATGCCCCAAGACTGTGGTTCTTAGCCTCCATGATCTATGTCCATAGAGCAGTAACACATGCTTACAGCATCTGCCAACAAGGTGTGGGAGCCTAGTCCCTGCTTCTAGGAGAGTCTAGATGTTTCCAAGGCTAGTTCCAGGAAAGGCTTCTGATTTTTGCTGTTTTCTTCACAACCAGCCAGGCTGGTATGGAAGGCATGGCGCCAGGACTCCTTCTCTCCAGTCCATCATGAGAATTTGGCTCTCAAGCCTGGATGCTTAATAGCTTCTTCTTGGAATTGGCTCACCACTGTCCCACAAACAGCTCCTCCAGCTCAAGTTCAAATTTGGAAAACATAGCAACATTTCTCCACCCAAGTGTTCTCCTCAGATAGATCATGCTTACGGCTGATAAGCAATTGCTAGGCCCTTCTTCAGGGTGGCCGATCATACTGGTGGAAGTAAATGAGCCCTTGATAAGCCTGGTAAAGCTGCTGTTATAAAATGCCCTCTGAACACAAGATCATAAGGTTTACATTTATGATGACTCTCTTTCCTCACCAGAAATCAGGATATAAGATCTGACAAATAATACGAGCACTTATGGATTGAATATTTGATGTGAAAAGTATACTTGAAAATACAATTCCACAAAGATTAACAAATAATCTATAAATCCAATCTCATGTTAGGTGATCTCTTCTGTGGTTAAAAAAACTACCTACATGCCTGCTTGCCCAACCTTCCAGGGAGACGGGGCTTTGGGAAACAACACCATTAAATGCTGGGATTAGGACAAGGGCAAAGATGGAGTTTAGCTAACGTGTAACTTTACTTTTCTCCCTCTTAGAGTGCTGTAATGTATTCCTTCTGGTCAAATATATTCCAACTTGAAAATTCCAGGTTAGGAAAGGCTTCAATGATCTGCATATATAAAATCATTCTGTTTTTCCTTAAAATATCAAGAGAAGCCACAAATTATGGAAAGCAAAACCTGGCATTTTTCTGTAAGATAGTGTTGAGATTACCCTGAAAATGCCCAGATTGACTGAAG